TATTCACGTAAACGTCTTCAAACTTTGTATACTTACTAATTTTGAGGTGGTCTTTTTAGTGATTTAGTTCATTTCTTAATTTGGGCACTTTTTAACACTCGTCCCCAGTTCACTCATCAACTTCGGAATGGCTAATTTAATTACATGAAAAATACAAGTAAAACTTCAACGTTTTGAGTGAAGGCCTTTTGTCAGCAAGGTAGGGCCTTCCTGATGAAGGACCTTCGCTCAAAACATCAAAGTCGTTGAATCCCTTTCAGTCTGCAGCTTGCTGGTGTTATAATGCAATACCATTTCTAAATAACGCCATGTCAAGGCTTGTCGATTATGAAGTAGCAAGGACATCCCAGCAGGCAAAACGATGTTTATTCAACGTTGAGTCAACATCGGAAATGATCTCCCAGACGTTGGTAGACGTTGAAAAAGGATTGAAAATTGGATCAACGTTACTCTTTTGACATTCATATTAGGTTGTCAATCTCGTCAACCATAATTCAATGTTGAAACAATGTTGAGATTCATTCACAAGTTGACGTCATATAATTAATCGTGAATGAATGTTGATTCAACGACTGTTAGCTGCCATTGAACCGACGTTTGTAAAACAACATCAGAGCAACGTTGATATTAGGTTGTTGACATCGCAACCATTTTTCTACCAAATTTCAAATTTAAACAACGTTGTGTGCCCAGTGGGACATCTAGTGCCATGTAAGTGTTTTCAAGTCAGCTAAAATCATCATGTCATACTTTCTCAAGGAACAAGGAAGGAAATATTGACGAGAATGAGGCAGATACATACTACATTGATTTTGTTTTTGATGCGGATGTCAAATGTTTCATCACAGTTCATTATCTGGCTTTTGAAGACCTGTCCTCAGGCCATGCAGTGTAAGTTTGAACAGTGATTAGTAATGTATCACATCTGTGACTGAGGTTCAGTTCCTATCATGTGCAGTTTAAAATATGACCAGTCACATGGACTCTTGTTCTTCCAGTTTGACTCTATCACAGGTTTAAATAAAGTTAATTATGAGACACAACCCATGCTGGAATTCCAGTGAGAACAGTTTAGAACTAATAGTTTAGAACTGGTACTTTATACAAAAAGAGTTTTGATATTTTAAGAGAAGGCTTTGTCTGGTAGCTAGATGATAGAGTTTGAATGTCAAAGTTCTTTCTGAATGTATTCTTGAGGTGGAAAAGTATTCAGGGGTGGAAAACATAGGCAAGCATACGAGCATTGCTTGCAGGAAATGTTAAACAGCTGCAGGAAATTTGTTTGAATGAAAATTTTGCATTGTCAATAGGAGACACAACCCATACTGGAACTCCAGGGAGAACAGTTTAGAACTGGTAGAACTACAATATCCAGTATAAATAAAGTACAGGTATAGTTTAGGTAATTAGGTTTCCTCTGCCAGTAGCACTGAATTAATAAGAAATACTGTAGTCCTTACTGGACCTTGAGCTAGGGAAACAGTCTATAACTAATAGAGATATCCAGCATGAATAAAGTGAGTTTATATAGGCATCTAGTGACACTCAATGTTAACTATTACAGCTACACAACCAATGACAGTTCATTGACATCTCGAGTATTTGAATTTGAAAAAGGAGCAAATCAGTCTTTTGGCAAACATGGAAAATTTCATCTTATACAGCCTAGCAAGTTCAGAGAATGCGAGGTACCAATTTTCATGTTTATTCTTATTTCTCATTCCTCTTCCTGTGTGAATTTTTTTACAAAAATGATATGTGATAACAGGGTGGTAAAGCTACAGGTGCATCTTAGAAAATCAGATCTAGAATGTCTTCCACAAATTTGATTCAAAAAGTTAAAATTTTATTTCAGCAAATCATTACATGTAAAAATCAAATATTTGTTATTTTTGTCTTAACATATATTACAATACAAACATGTGCACCGACTAGTTTAAATGTCAAGATGATATTCTAATTTTTTGAGATGGACCTGTTGTTATATGCACAATGTATTGAGTTGGAGGGAAATCAGAGAGAGTCAAAACTTCATGACAATTCTGGTGTTTGTGTGCATGCCCAACCCTAAGGACCATGCATGGGACCTCACCATTGATTATTCTAAAATCCTTTCCTGTCAATTTCATTTTAGTTGATTTACTCAGAAACCACCAATCATATTCCAGTTGTTATCCATATCACAGCATCAGATGAAGGTAGCATCATACATTCATACATCAAGAAATTGTGTAATATAATGTATTGTGAAATACTGCAGAGAGTTAATTGCCAAAATTTTTGTTCAGAATACTCAGGACATTCTAACATAACTATGGCCAACATTGAAAAGGTAAACAATTACTGTTGAAATGTTGAAATTCTCCTTATATTTTTCAGGTAGTTTTCCCTACAACCAAACAATTCTTGTGCATGTAGTTTAGCAGTGTTGCTTGTAAAATTGATCCATCATTTATGTTATCTTTATGTTTTCAGCTTTCTGATGAAACATATACCATAAAACTGTTGAAACAAAAGCAAATGGTTAGTACTGAAAATAATGTAACTACTTTTAAAGCTAATATTTATAGTAAACACAAAGAGTCAATGAAATGAATGTGATACGCACTTTTTACTGTCTATACATAGTCTTGTCTTGTAGACGTATTGCAATATTTTGTAATGACAAGAAATTAACTTCATATGTTTAGGTTGATGGCTTGTGTTACTTACTTCATGAAATTTATGGTTTGGAAAGCAAGGAAGAAACAGAAGAGGGAGAGGTAGGATATTTCTTGTGTCACACACTAAAAACGCGCAAGTTGTAACAAACTGCAGCGCGGACTTGTAGCAATCCTGTTCCAACAACTTGTCAACAGGATGTGTTCGTACCATTTGTTCCCAGCTTGTTGATAACTTGCTACAAGGTTGTTGAACTCGACAGACTTGTTACAAGTTGTTCCAACAACTTGTTATCGTCCTGCAATTCAATTGTCAACAAGCTCGGTGGATAAACCGTATCCCCAATGTTTTCTCTCCATGCAGGACAAGCAGACGGAGATAAGTGATGATGATTATGACGATTATACAGATGAAAACGTCGTTTGTGTTGTTTGCATGAGTGATACACGTGACACACTCATGTTACCTTGCAAACATCTCTGTGTGTGTAGTGACTGTGGTATGTATCTTGTAATATTGCTTTTTTATCGCATGTTTCTTGTTCACTTATTTCTTGTTTGTTTCTTGCGAACAGAAACAGGCGGAGGCGTGCACGTATCATTTTTACTATCTATTGGGCAAGCTTTTCTATGTTCAGTTCTTTGTTCACTCGCTAGATTCCCTAGGCCTAGATTGCATTTTCGAGTTACTCTACATGTAAAGAAGGACGGTATTTTTAGATTGTCATCCACCATCTGCATGTATGTGTGAAAAGTTTTTCTTTGTATTTTAGCGTCTAGTTTGCGCAGTGGATCGAATAACTGCCCCATCTGTAGAGTCCGTAAGTACAGTAAATGCGAATAAATATTCTCAAGCAATACACAAAATCTAGCTTTCGAAGTTGGTTAACTTCTGAGGACTCCCACATGGCAATCATGTAAATCAGTATTCCTTGTCCTTTTCTATCTAGTTTTCTCGATTTTTTATAAGATGTAATTTTGTACTGATGATTCTAAACCGTGTTTCAATAAAGTTTCAATACAATACAATTTCGTGTATAAAATATTCAGGAGAATAATTTTATTTATTTTCATGTTTTCAGCATTTCATGCGCTTCTCCAGCTGTGTGCATACCAAAGGGCAAGTACAAATGTAAGTTGTGTTTATCGTCAACATGCTTGTCCTGAGAACTCCAAACTTAAAATTTTTCTTACGTTTTTGTTCATTCTCCGTTTAGTCGAAATCTCAAGATCCTTACTCTGGTTATGAGAAGGTCGACTTATTTGATGCTCTGAATGCTTTCAACATTGTAAAACGACGAGAAAGTACGTTTTGTGTTTTACCCATAATAGAAAGTTTTTACTCAGACAGTGGTCAATTGACTTGGTTAACCACGCCAGCCCAGCTCCAAATCACAGAATAGAGACAAACAGAAGCCCGACTTCTTGATTTTTCCTATGATTTTGGCGTAACCGTAATTCGTCATCAAAATGCTGACGCCATAGTCCTATTGGTGAACGTCCAGGGCATAGAGATTATAAATAACACTAGAGGAGGCAATCTTAATTCAGTCAAAAAAAGGGAACGCGGCTATTGGGGGGCAAATTTAAGTCCCGGATGTGTACTCGTGTTTCCATTGGTGACGAGTTTCCAATCAGCCAATCAGAGCACGATTTTATATCCGGGACTTGAATTTGCCCCCCCCCCCCCC